CCTAAATGTCTCCGGAGAGTGAGTCTCATGTTTCCAGACGCTCCTGCCTGGCTCCGAATGCAAGCCACGGCTCCCTCCCAGGTTCATCGCAAACTCTGGGGCAAAAGGTGTCATTGTTGTACTTGGACGTCACCCTCCAACCCAGCGCCTTCTCAAGAGTTTTCAAGTATAATCTATGCAATTTCACCTCATATCTTAACTTAATCTGAAGAAAGTGTAAGGTCTAAAGTCAGCGAGACGGTGAAACTGAGAAATATACTCAGAATTACTCCATGGAAAGTCCCATGCATGGTCCATAACACGCAAAACGCTATTCGGATACATACGATCCTATACAATAATGCATACGGAAACAGTGAGGCCCAATCTGTAAAAACGAGTATGCAAAATACTTTAGAGTATTAGATGAGAGTTAGCTCACACTCCGAGTTCCTATTGTAGGAAAAATGCAGAGGTCAATTTGCACTTGTAAATTAAGTTATATTTGGGACTTCGCTGGCGGTCCAGTGGTTAAGACTCTGCCCTTCCAGTGCAGGGGGTGCGGGTTCGATCCCTGGTCGGGGAGCTAAGATCCCACATGCCCTGCGGCCCCAAAAAAAAAAATCATGAAATAGAAGCAATATTGTGACAACTTCAATAAAGACTTTAAAAATTGTCCACATTGGGGCTTCCCTGGTGGCACAGTGGTTAAGAATCCGCCTGCCGATGCAGGGGACATGGGTTCGAGCCCTGGTCCGGGAAGATCCCACATGCTGCGGAGCAACTAAGCCCACGCGTCACAACTACTGAGCCTGTGCTCTACAGCCCGCAAGCCACAACTACTGAACCCGCGTGCCACAGCTACTGAAGCCCGCGCACCTAGAGCCTGTGCCCCACCTCAAGAGAAGCCACAGCAATGAGAAGCCCACACACCGCAACGAAGAGTAGCCCCCGCTCGACGCAACTAGAGAAGGCCCGGGCGCAGCAACGGAGACCAATGCAGCCAAAAAATAAACAAATAAATAAATAAACTTATTTTAAAAAAAGGTCCACATCAAAAAAATCTTTTAAAAAATTAATTTATATTCATATCTGGTCCTTACTATGTAATCAATGCTTCCTTGCTCTCTCTAAAGGGTCCCAGAAAATCTCCCCAGAGAAGAAAGGCAGGAGTCGGCCCCTCTTTCCTGCTCAATCAGTGTCATTGAATTAAACGGGAACAATATATAAAAAGATCAAGGGCTTCTCCGGCGGTACAGTGGTTAGGACTCTGTGCTTGCACAGGGGTTGCGGGTTTGATCCCCGGTCGGTGAACTAAGATCCCGCATGCTGCACGGCCAAAACAAGCAAACAAACAAAAATATGTAGAAAGATTTAGAGAGAAAGAAGAGCACAAGTTTTGTCAGAAAATACCAAGTATCAGTGCTGCGCAGGTGTGAAGCGTGAGGTAGGGATGAGGGGTGGGCGGGGGGAGGGCAGGTGAGCAGTGGTGGAAGATGGTCTAGACAGGTGGGCCGGGCCTACCTGCCACGTAGCCCCCTAGGTACCGGGCTGGGACAGAACATAAGGCCTTGTGTGCCAAGCTGAGGACTAGAGATTTCACTCTGGAACCGCTGGGAAGCTTGTGCAGGGGAACAAGAAAAGAGGTGACAAGGTAGGATTGGCATTTTCGGGTCCTGGACACCAGACCGAGCGTCAGTTGGGGTGGGAAGAGAACACGGGCAAGGAAACCCCTTAGGAGTTGGTGAGAGGCGACCTCCTCTTAGAGGGAAAACAAAGACGTGGCTGTTTGACCCTCAAGGCAGTTTTAAGGAAAATAGTCTTAGATTAAAACACATCTGGTAAATTGATGATTCGCTGCTTTGCAGAGATTAAAATCATGACGTGTGTATCCCTTCCTCTCCGTGTTAAAATGTCACCATATCTTAATCCATTCTCTTTTCTCCCATTTGTGTCTCTGAGTAACTCTCCACACTCCTCACCCCAGCCCTTTTGCTGGTCCCTCCCTCTCCCCTGGCTCCCCTTTGTCTGTAAATGCAAATGCTCTCAGCCACCAGGGGCTGAGTTTTTTGTTTTTTTTCTCTGGAGCTTTCTGGAGCCCTCTGGAGCCACCTGAGCCCAGCACCCTACCCCTCGCCCAACGTCACCAAAGAACGAGCGGTACTCAGAGCCTCACCACCCATGCAGCCTGGCCTTGACCCTCCAGGATCCGGCCTGCAGGGGCCCTGACTCTTGCAGGATGAAGCTCCTACACAAACTGCGCATCCCAGCGCAGTGCCAGTGCAAACAAAGAACCAGGGGGGAAGGAGGCAGGTGATGACCTGAGCTGGTGCATGACCTGTGCCTTGAAAGACGTGCCACCTCCTTCTCGTAAGTGACAAAAATCTAATTCGAAATAATTGAAGCAAAAAAGGGACTTGACCATCTCCAGTGGGGAAGAAGACCGGGCTGAGGCCGGGCTCAGCTGGCGCCTCCAGGGCACACCTCCCCACCCTTCACCTCCTGTGGCAGGAATGGCCAGGCAGCCTTGGAGTCGATAGTCCCAGAGTCCCTCTCCAGGTGTCCACGTCAACCCTGAAAAAGGCTGACTGCACAGCTCGGGTCACCCACCCTCTCCCCAGCTTCCAAAGAAGGACAGCCTGTGACCCTGAAAGAATACTCATATAAAAGGATTTTAACCAACGATGACATGGAGGCAATGGTGAGATGAAGGTGATGACTGACCGGGCACATTTTGGGGCGAACACATGATCCTGTGCGCAGGGAGGAAGGTATGAAAAGACACTGTAAATAAAAAAGAAGCTGGGGGGCTTCCCTGGTGGTGCAGTGGTTAGGTATCTGCCTGCCAATGCAGGGGACACAGGTTCGAGCCCTGGTCCCGGAAGAGCCCCCATGCCGCAGAGCAGCTAAGCCCGTGTGCCACAACTACTGAGCCCGCGAGCCACAACTACTGAAGCCTGCACTCCTAGAGCCCGTGCTCCACAACAAGAGAAGCCACCGCAGTGAGAAGCCCATGCACCGCCATGAAGAGTAGCCCCTGCTCGCCACAACTAGAGAAAGCCCGCGTGCAGCAATGAAGACCCAAGGCAGCCAAAAATATAAATAAATAAATTAATTAAAAAAAAAAAAATAGGCTGCGATGAAACACGGAGTAGGGAATTCCTGCAAGTACAAGGAATCACTAGCCATGGCAGTGACCCTCCTGGACTGATCTGGGTAGGATGGGCATCACAGTCAGAGTCTCAGGTAAGTAGGCAAAATAACGCCCTCCCCAGTAGGAAAACGGGTAACTACGTCCTGTGGAAAGACAGTGGGTAAGACAGCAGACTCGTGGCCACTGAAGATTCCTGGTGACGGCTGGTTGGGGCGGGGCAGTATCAGCATAGTTTCTAGTGATAAATCCTCCAAGCCTGGCAGGACAGCCATGCTAGCTGTTAAAATATTAAAATACTTGTATGTCAGTTGGTAAGTAGTCAACACCCTCTAACACCCCCTCCCAGGGCCACTCCTGTTCATCTGAACCCTAGGATCCCGAGACCAGCCCATGTTCCAGCAACTACTGCATGGAGTCTGAGCCCTGGGGGGCTTCCAGAACCTTCTGCATCCTTCCCTGGCCCCCATCCTCTGTGCCGACTGGCTGATGACTGCGCCATATTGATTATTGAGTGCTCTGGGTGAGAGCAGACCCCTCGTGGAGAAGCGCCCTCGAACTATTTCCCCAAATCCAGGGAGCTGGAGAGGCTGGACCAGGGAGGAGCTGGGGGGTGGGAGCTGCCCCTACAGGAATGGGCCAGTCCCCTCCTGTGAGCTCATTATGTCCCAGGCAGGCACACGCCCCAATCTTCTGCTATGTCCACTTCCGCACCAGGAAGTCGCCAGCCAATGTGACGTTGGGAGATCATCAGTATTATCTGTAATCATGTTATTTCCCATCTACCTGCCCTGGGGAACCGTGACATTTAAGCAGAGTCGACATAAAATGGGAGATGAGTACTAACTCGGACCCGCCCTGGGATTACTCTGTATCCACCCAAATCACGAAAGAGATTAGAGGGCTGCCATCTGACCCAGAAAGTATAAAACCAAAGTGGACAGTGACAGTATAATCGATTTATAACCATCCTCTTAAGAGATGCTGGATTTTGCAAAAGGCTGAATATTGTAGGAAAAAGCCAACTCTGGCAGGAAGTAAATAAATATAAGTGGTTTGTGTTTGCTTGTTCATTTAGCAAACTATTCTGAGTGCATTTTGGCCCCAAAGAAACCTCTTAGACTTTTAATATTCAGTCTAGAAATATAACCATTCTTTAACACATCCCATAATTTATTTTATAATATCAATTGTGTGGTAAATTTTTATTTTAAGAGGGGCATTTAAAAAGCAAGAGAAGGACTTCCTTGGTGGCACAATGTTTAAGACTCCACGCTCCCAATGCAGGGGTCCCAGGTTCGTTCCCTGGTCAGGGAACTAGATCCCACATGCATGCCGCAACTAAGAGTTCACATGCCACAACTAAGGAGCCCACGTGCCGCAAGAAAGGAGCTGGTGAGCCGCAACTAAGGAGCCCGCTTGCCACAACTAAGACCCAGCGCAACCAAATAAATAAATAATTTTTTTTTAAAAAACAAGCTATTAAAAGGCAAGAGAAAAGACAGTTTGGTGGTTTCTCAATAAGTTAAACATAGAACTACCACATGATCCAGCAATTCCACTTCTAGGTGTGTACCTGAAAGAATTAAAACAGGCTTTCAAACAATAACTTGCACGTGGATGTTCATAGCAGCATTATTTACAACAGACAAAAGGTGGAAACAACCCAGATGTCCTCAACGGGTGAATGGATGAACGAAGTGTGGTCCATCCATACAATTGAATATTATTCAGCCAT